CGGTTGTGTTCACAGTCTGTGACGTCCAGAAGGCCTAGGACAATGTTTTTTCTCACAAAATTGGTCTCACTCATTGTAAATCAAACCTGATCACTTGATTCAAAAGTTATTTTCTTATCTTGTGGTTAATCTGTGCATTAGGCCTTCTGTTCATCTCCTGAAGCCCTAACCCTTGGGAGTGCTCACTTGGCTATATCTACCTAGATATCACAGACAATTCTGATTGGATCATTTAAAACTTAACAATGAAATAATAATGTACAATATCTATAATATTTGAAAAGTTTAAAAGCATAATGATTATGTTAAATAAATTAAACAAAAATTACAGATATTCCAGTCTTTTTTGGTTCCCAGAAATCATTAAGCCTTTAAGACTCTGAGCGTTTCTCTCTGGGTGTAGAAGCTTCCATTACTTGTTAGCTACATTAGCCTTGTTGCTCCACTGCAAAACTAAAGAAGCAAACTTCAGACACCAGACATGTTTGGCTGATTGACTACAGTTTGGAATAAGAAGAAAATTGTGTGAACTTGATTTTTCACCTAACTATCATTTTAAGCACCTGAAGAGGGAACAGAGGGAACAATCACAGCAGCCATCAGCAGGATTGAGCCTTTTAAATCTTTAATTAAGCACATTTCTTCCGTCTTCCTGAGACTTTTGTTCCTTCAAGCTGTGAAATGCAAGTTCAGGTTGGACATTCGTTTGCCTGAAGCCGTTTGATTTCCTCCACATTGTGTAACGTAAACTGATTTGTTCAAAAGAACCATTAATAAGTGAAGTTAAAGCAAGTCAGATGCCTGCAGGCGAACTCTTTCCTCAGTTTACCTTTAAGTGAACTGAACAGTTGATGGTAAGGGAAGGGCTGTACAATACGACAGTACTTTTGTATGTGCTAGTGTGCTTATTAGTCCTGTGAGAATGCAAAAAACATTAGTATATATGTATGTATGTGTGTGAATACATACACACATAAAATATATATATTTTATATGTGTTTGAGCATGTACATATATATATATATATATATATATATATATATATATATATACATATGTGTGTGTGTGTTTGTTGTATGTGTATGGGCATGTATAAGGGGTTAAGTTCTAGCGTTTCTAGTAGTTGCAGTACATCAGGTACTTAAAATACTAGAGAACAAATCAAAATGTCAGTAAACAAATGGGCCTCTCGATGTACAAAATGTGCAAAAGTTGTTCAGCTGGGGCTATAATGTCATATGTAAAGCCAGCAATGACTTCGGATTTAACCATTTTTTTATTGCTGAAAAAAATAAACAGCCCAAAAATGTTTTTGGATTCAGAAGCTGAGGCACCACCCACTGTGCTTACTGACTCATTTTCTTGCTTCCCTTTTTAGAATGAAGCGTTACCTTCAGGTAGTAAACTACTTATTCTGTGACAGCAACCATACGCAAAATCCTGCTGGTGTGGTTTCATGCATGGGTTATAAGTGTACTTTGGTTTCATTTTTATAATTATGCACAATGCTACTTTTGGGGAGTGTGAATTATTGTGGAGAAAATAAATTGTATATTTCACAAAATAAACTTTTAACTTTGAATCTTTTACATGCATCATATGTTTCTTCACAGTTAGATTGATAAATTGTTCCACTAGCCTTTTATTTCAGTTCTACAGTATTTTTAAAAACCTTTGAATGTTGCTAGTGACCACGCTACATGCTCGAAATGTTTACTTCCAGCTCTGGATAAATGGTTGCTCTAATTTTAATTACCAGAATATGTCATAGCTTTACAATTTCTTAAAGAGCAGTAATCAGTAACAATATTTCCTGAAAGTGGTTACCACACAGAAACTGCACATATTGTGTAGTTTAGTTATTTATAGTTAAAAAAAATGCCATTTGCATAAAGATTATCTTCTTGCTTCTTTTTAATCAGTGATGTTAGTGCATTTCTTTTGGCTAAAAAAAAGAATGATGGTTCATTGCTAATTAAACTCACAGTAATGTTTGGGCTCGAATTGCACTAACATCTTATTTATACCTCAGTCTCTTCACTCTAGTCCAGAATTCAATGTTTCTTCTTCTTCCTCTCTCTCTCTGTTTTCCACTTTCCTCCCCCATGTGCACTTATAGTCCTGCATTAATGCATTCTGCCATGAGCACAATCTGCAGTACTGCACTCAGGCTGTGTGTGTGTACACTCTACAGTAATGCATTGTGGCCTGACAGGTCTAAAGCCGAGGTGAACTTTTATAGTTTGTGGCAGTGGAGTAGACAGAATACATTTTCGGGTAGGCTTGTTAAAAAGTGCGTAGGCCAGTTTGGTAGATAAACTTCCATACGTGCCAGTGTCCCACAAGGTATACATCAGGATGTAGCCTATTCTTGACACCTGTGTAGTCATAGACCTATGTACTTCAACTTTTCTTCCCCTATTGCAATCAAGCAGAATACTGATTTCACATGAACACAACATACCCTGTGACACCCTTTACTAAAAGGACTAGAAAGCATGTGTCCACTCACCACAGGTACGTTTGTCCAATGAACACCACTTAACTAAATTGAGACAGGAAAAAACATTACAGCTAACTGGAAAATGTAAGCCTAATCGTTGAAGCCAAAACCATATTGCCACAGCGGGCGTAATAAGTGTTTTTTGGTCTATTCATGTCTTGCCTTTGATTCACTGAAGTAACGTTAGATGTTTGATTTGAAATTTTCACAATGCCCATTTCGGCTTTTATAGTTAAACGGGCAACAACAGAAAACTGACAAAAATGGTTGTTTTTTTTTTGATATAAAATGTCATACTTTACGGGACAAAATCTCACTTTTAAACGTCACCCAGTACATATTTTAAAGTGGAGATGAAGTAGAGCTTCAAATTTAAACACCTCTGTGTTGATAATGACCTGAGTGCCTGGGGTAATGTTGGATAGTAACAGCTGCTGTGCATTGATTGGAGGGTTGAGAAAATAAGGCAGAGCTTAGTGAAGTGTGTAGTAATTTGATTGGTGATAATACAATGACAGCACTCATGGAAAACAAATCAAATTGCATTATTTATTTATACTTAAAAATGGCAAATTAATCAAAATTCTTTCTCCATTGGATTGGGTGGGTCTGTGATCAGTCTGCTCCCATTGCTGTGCCCCTGGTTTGTGGTGAGCTGTTGGCTCAAGGGTTCAGTTTGACCAGATTAGGTTTGAGTCCATTCACTCTGTGCTTTTGCCTGAACAAGGTGGGCAATATAATGATACTGTTATTCTAATAAATTACGGAAAGGCTGTAATGACAACCAGTGTATAGTACCTGAATGTGCTTATTCATAGTCTCTTAATGTAGCAGTAACTTGTTCACAAACCACAGAAAAACAATATATGGGGAAAATGTATGTTAATAAAAAATACTGAGGCCTTTGATGTATTAAGCATTTTTCAGCCACAGATCAGACACATTCTCATGTGTTATGTACAAAACTGCTGTGCGAGACCAAATACAGAGTTTAGGAAATGGAACTGCTGCATGCGCCTCTCTTCCTCAAGCAGTTGGATGCAAACATTTGAACATCCCTCAGTTTAGTTACATGTTTTGTTGATTTTCTGCAAACCAAATCTACCTATTACCTCCCTGTTAAAGTGTGTTCAGGCCTTTGTCGGGCTGCTGCAGATACACAGTACTGCACTGAGCTGCAGAGATGAACAGAATGATCTGACTCCCAATGAACTCATGTTAACTGAAGCTAAACCCAATAAAAACCACCAGTGTGAAATGAAGAACCCACCACAGGGATGTTCTGGAGATTTACTGTCCTGCAGAATTTATTTCTGAGCTGCAGAACCCTCCAGAATTATTGGCATATGTGGTAAAGATGAACAAAAAGGCTATAAAAAATATCTTTGTTTGTCAAGTTGGGAAGTTATATCTCTGTTTTTTATCAGCTTGACCTTATAATGACAATATGAGTGAAATGTAACCCTGAAACCCAACTTAATCCTTACTAAAAATTCAGGAGCTTATGAATGCTAAAGCACAGAAGGAAATCCTCAGGCTAACAAGAAACAAAAGCATGTACATCACCCACTATTGTCCAATCAGATTTTTTTTTTCTCTGTGATATCTAGGCAGATACAGCCAAGTGATCTCTCCTATAGGCCTTACAACTTAGATGACCTACCAACATAATTAGGAAATGTCAGTGGAATCAACCAGTCATATTTTGATTTCATGAGAAAAAAAATCACTCAGTGGCCTCTGAAAGTAGATACATCACTGACAACAAATACGAGTGGTAGCCTAACCAGGTTTCAGTTGGTTGATAAAAATGACAGACAGCAGCAGTTTTATGCCAGGGTACTTTTCTTCACTTTAAAACTGCTGCATAGAAGGTAAAATGTAAAGGTTGCAATGTCTATTGCAAAATGTGTAATCTCTTTTAAAAGCTTTCAATATCCGCGGTTAAACTGGAGTGGCTGAAAAATGTTCACACTTCCGCTTAGTGCTAACATCCTGTTAGAACTCCCATAGAGGTACTAGTAGAAATTAGCATTATCATAGAGGTATGGACCATACTCCTAATGTCAGGTATGTTCATCACTGTTCCTAGAGATTTCATTCAGGTCTCTTGCAGAGTTTATTTATAACCCTTGTTATAACCCTTGCTCCAATTAACACAATACAAACAGCAGTGGTGAACCATGACTATTAGAGCTACTATGGACCAACTTGGTTAACAACAAAGTCTACAGTATTGAATTAACACGTACAGTGTTGATTTTGCTCCCTATTTATTCATTTCTGTGTAACATGGGCTTATACGAGTACCATAGTTTAGGGTTCTTCAGTTTTGATCGTGGGGGTCTGGTGTCCAGCATGGTTGAGCTGGGAAATGTCCAAACTGTGCTGAAAACCGCCCTTCCAGGACTCGAATGGAAGAACCTTGCAGTAAGTGTTCATTTTATACCTTTTTGCTGTGCTTGTGATTTAACTTTGTTTTTTGTGTGTTTTTCAGACAGACCCTGGCAGTTCGGTGCTGGAACAGCTGGGTTTGGACCCAAGCTCTGATTTCTCGGACTGTGGCGTGCAGCAGCGTCTGGAGGAGCAGCGGGAGCGGATCCGCAAAGAGATCCGGAAAGAGTTGAAGATAAAGGAGGGGGCGGAGAACCTGCGCCGTGCGACAACCGACAAACGCAATGCACACCAAGTGGAGAGCCAGTTACGCTCCTCTAAACGCAGACTGGACACACTGCACACACAGCTGCAGGAGCTTGACGCTCACATCATGGTGAAGGGTCCTGACGAGAGCAAAGGTGAGAACGGAGGTCAACCACATGAAGAACCACACGCAATATAGACATTTATTAATGTGGGTCCATACATATTCTCATTCTTATAACTGCATAACTTACACAAGAGTTTCAAAGAAGTTACACATAATTAATTATCGTTACCAAATATGTTTTAAGTTAATAAACACAATTTTTATAGGTCTATACTTCTTAGACCCTCCTTATTTAGTGTTTTTACACTTACAGAACATATGCACATGTGCAATAATTGGCATACAGTCAGGGCCAGAAATGTGTGGATCTTGAAAGTTACTGTTATATAAGCTGTCTGCCGCAGTGTATTGGAGTTGAAATACAATAATATGTGTTCAAAGTCTAGCCTTTAAACTTCAATTTGAGGGTATTTACACCTAAATCGGGTGAACAATGTAGTAATTGCTATCATTTTTGTAAATAGTCCTCCATTTGTAGGGACTCAAAAGTTATTGGACAAACTAACGTCATCATAAATTAAATTGACATTTTTAATACTTCAAACTGCAAACATATAGCACTACCTCCACCATGTTTGACAGATGAGGCGGTATGCTTTAGATCATGAGCAGTTCCTTCCCTTCTCCATACTTTTTGAGTCCCTTCATTCTACTACAAACTGACCTTTGTCTCTTTTGTCCATAAGATGTTGTTCCTTTTTTGAGCAAATCTGGTCTTCCTGTTTTTGAGGTTTACCAGTGGTTTCCCAATCATCTTGCGGTAAACTCTCTGTATTTTCTTAATTTTTGACACAGGTGCCTACTTATTGTAAGGTGTTCTTGATCTGGCCAACTGTTGTGAAGGGGGTTTTTCTTCACCCGGGAAACTCCAACATGCTGTGGTAGACAAGTCAAAAAACAATAACTGTTGATATCCAAATGTGTCTAACTGTATAAGTCATACCAAATTGACATTTTAGAAATAAAACCACCTGTAATATAGGGCTGGATTTAGTCTGATGAAGTCTTTAAACCAGAATAATTTCATGGATCATCGCTTCAGATGCATAATTGTTCATTATTTATTCATGAATTAATTTACTGTGGAAACATTTTAAGAGGCTTACTGTTTAGGTCCTTCTTGCTTGTAAAACATATATTTTGGTATAATCACTGCTTTAAAAGTGAATGATACGGATGGATCACTGTTCAGTATCAGTGCAAGCTTTTCCCTCAATCACAATATATTTGACCCCTAGATGACCTCCAGTCTGTGGGGACACCAGGTCGCTCTTCAGCCAACCAGGACCGAATCACAGCTCTGCAGAGACAGCTTAATATTGAGCTGAAGGTCAAACAGGGGGCGGAGAACATGATCCCCATCTACGCTAACGGAGCTACTAAGGTAACACACACATACGGTCATGATCCATAAGCCTCTGTAAAATAACACACTTCTAAGCCTAACCCCTGATTTAACCCTAATCTTACAGAAATGGTTTAAGTGAAAAATTCAGATTTACATAATTTTCTACTTATCCTAAATGCACTACATCTACACAGACATGTTTGTCCAAATACTGCTTCTTTTGTTTACTTCTGGTGCTGCAAGGCTAATTTTGCTAACAAACACTAGAAGTCAATAGTCACCCAAATCTTTTACATTAATATGTCTCCAAAACTACTCTTAAACTGCTCTAACCACATCCAGTTCTTCAAGTTTGTGCAGACCTTGAAGCAAAATTTGGGCACTAAACTTGGCTGATTGACTAGCTCTGGGATAAGTGGATAAATTAGAAATTGTAAAAATTAGATTTTTTTCAAACTATCCTTTTTAACCTCAGTAACTAGAAGCAATTGGTTTTATTACAGAGACCTGCAAGGGTACTTTTCCAAAGTTCAGTCTTTGAAGTTGGTTGTATTTTCTACTTCTCACAATCCAATTCCAATTCTATTTTCATTCAGACTCATAGTCCAGAAAAGCTTATATATCTCAGATGTGTGGTTTGAGTGTTCTGGTGCAAATTTTCTTCTTTTTTGTCTATTTTAATTACTCAGTAACAACTTCTTGACAGCTACACATCCTTGCAGACCCATAGACCCATAGTAGTTTTCTCACAGTCAAAAGATGGACAATAAAACCTGTGGATTTGATGGGGACAGTGTTGGTTGTCTACCAGGTCTTGCATGCTTCTTAGGAGTCCCATTTTCTCTATATCTTTTAATAATTCTTTGAATGCCAGGGTATTTTACTTTGACTTTCTCCTTCTTCATGCAGGTGGATTATTTTATATCTAATCGACTCAGAGAAATCTCCTAAAAAATTAACGTTATGTATATATATTGTATTTTTGGTGATTTTGACTGGAAGTTAAACAAATGAAAATGTTGTCTTTTAACTTTTACATAGTACTGTATGTGCATGCACACAAATAAACCCAACATTCTCCAGCATTCTAATTTTGCCCTTGTTGGCTTCTGAATGTCCAGACAAAAACAGTTTTAGAGATTTCATGCAGAGATATGGCACACCAGTCTAATGTTTTGGTTTCAAGCATGTTGGATTAGTGTGCATTAAACTTCTCACACACCACTCTAATGAACTCCACCCCAATCTATGGCACTAATAAAACCCAATAGAATTGTCTTATTATAATTCAAGTGGTCTGGTTTGTGCTCTGTTTGTGCAGTTCTCCAAAAATCACATCACCACACAACTCTTTTTTAGTGTCCAAACGCAAAGCCCTGTTCAGAACACTTCTCTTCACAGTGTGCCGTTTTGTGTATTTGTTAATCGATGTCGTTGGGAACCGCTGACTCAAAGAAAGTGTGTGTTAAATCAGTTTAAGAGAGCAGTTTCTGCATCTCTTTTCTGTCACTTCCTTCCTGTCACATGTCAGTTTCTGCCTGTTATGTTTGTGTGGTGAAAACGGCTGTGTGCCCTGTGCCTGTGCTCCTAAGGGTTTGTATGTGGGTCCAAGCTTTAAGAACGACATAATTTACAAACTACATATAATGACAGAATACATATCAGAATACGTTGAGTGGGATTAGCGCCCATAGTTCCCACAGTGATAGAGGTCCTGTTCCAGTCCACCTCATAGAATGTAGAATATTATTAAATGGCTAGTTTTTGTTCTGAAGTCTGATTGGCTGTTCAAAGCATTTCTACTCCATATACACTCCTGTGCAAAAACATTTTCACAAATGGTTTTGACCTGATCAGTGTCCAGATTTAGACTCTATATAGAATATTTGGTCTCACATTAAACACAAATTAGCTTGGCAATGATTTTTAGCTGTTTGAAGCCATCACTGGTGAGTGGGACAGTATTGACTCTTCAGTCTCTAAATGTCCTGCAAGGTTACCCACAAAACCTGATAAAGTAAATCAAAAGGAAATGAATATCTCATACTAATATCTATTTATTATTTTTATCTATTTAACTAATTATTTGTTGTTACCATTAAAAGCTTAAAGTTTTGCCATTTGGACTTGGCCTTTTTTTGCAAGGGAGTGTATATGCACACCTATGACCGCATACAGTGAAGCTGCAAGAAACTTGAACTGTTCATGTTTTGCTGGACGACTAATCTTTACCAGTTTTATAAGAAATGAAAATGAGGTGAAGAGGGATGTAAAATACCAAGATTAATGTTGATGAAAGCCTACAGGCTACATAATTCAGTGTTGGCAGATTTTAGATTTATAGATAAGGATAGACAAGCAAACTAATGGTTTTAGCCATTAATTATTATTATTAGAGATATGCATTCTGACTAATTTGATGTTTGAGTGAGTTAGTGGACAGATAGTTGGTTAAGCATATGGAAAACAAAGACCAAAAACTACCGAAATTAGCGTAGGGCTATAAGCTTACCTTTTGTGTGGTTTCACTCGTACTAAGAGGCCAAAAAAAAACAGTAGAGCAAGAAAAAAGAAAAACGATTATATGTAATTCTTCAAAAAGTTCTCTTTATCGTTCTCTTTTTCGTTTGTTGTAAGAACTAGAATTGACAAGATAAGCCTTTAAAACTGAGCCCTGTGAGGAGTTCTTCAAAATTTGACAGTTATAATAGATGAAGGAGGATTACTGTTTGTCTTAAGATTTTACAAGATGTCTACTGTCAAAGCTTTAAGTCACTAATACGTGTGTCTTGTGGTATAACTAGGGATGTAGAGGAGGGTAAATGGATGTAAATGCTGTTTACTTACCTGTTCAAATCTGAAATGATGTTTTTAAAAATTGTATACCCACCTTTATGAGAGTGTAATAACAAATGTTTAGAGTTTACACACATTGAAATTTCTTAAAAAATCAAAGTTGACATAGCTTTGTTTTACTCAAATGGTTCTGTTGTGCTTGAAAACAGCCTAAGAGACCAGATCATGTCACTTATGCTGTGGGCTTATGCCATACATTTCACAAACGCCTTTAAAGAAACTGCGTCAAACCCTCTAATAAATGTAGCCATCCAGTATTGCCAATCTAATGACCTATGAACTACCAGCTTTTTGGGGGGCTGCTGAGAGCAGGTGCCACCCCAGGCTTTTCCACCCAGACTAGTAACTCTATACTGATTATGCAGTTGGATGCTCACTGAAGATTAGGGTTTTTTACCTGTATGCCCAGATTTCCACTGGTTCCACTAGTCTACTGGTTTCTGACGTGCCTGCTGTTATTCTCTCTCAGGACAAGAAGTTGCTGCAGACTGCGCAGCAGATGCTTCAGGACAGCAAGACCAAGATTGACATCATCCGCATGCAGATCCGCAAAGCTATGCAGGCCACAGAGCACTCAGACGACTCACAGGGTAAATGTCCCGTTCCACCACCTTTCACTGCTTCCACGGAGTCTGTAGCCAGATCAGAAAGAAGTAATGCACTGAATTTACTTGTTTCAAATATGTGTATCATTTCCACATGAATATATTACATACATATTTATTATATCTTAATGTGGAAATAATGTACACATTTGAATCAAGTAAATTCAATGCATTACTTTTTCCAGTGCACTTGGTATCATTGGGTGAAGTATGTCCAGTCTGGGAGCAGAGACATTTAAACAGTCGGCCTTTCTTAAGGTTCAGTCACACTTGTGTTTGCCAGCGAATACCAGTGAGCAAAATTACATTAATTAAAGATTCACAGTGATAAGTGAGGAGCATTGCAGACTTCTGAGGGGAATACATTTCCAAAATTAAAGGATCTAAAATAAAAGGAAGCTCTCACAGAAATGTCTGGAAAAATGTTTCATTTTTAGCTGTGTAGTTCCATTCTCCCCCATTCATAAAAGACTCGCTTGCAGGCACCATCTAGAGCCAGTCATGCAGTTATGGTATAATAGGAGAAATATGAAGTGGCAAGACTTCCTACAAACTGGCTCTGGTGACCCTTCATGGCACTGAACCTCCAAAATGAAGGAAATGCTAATTTAAGCATGAACCTTTTACCATTTCTTTCTCATGAGCTATGGATAAACATGTAAAAGAGAGACTGCATGATATGCAATCAGGAAACTCTATTATCTTTACTTCTGTGATTTTACTGTTTGTGGTAAGCAAGTTAGCTAGTTTGCTGATGGCTATGTTAGCTCTTTGGCTAACTGCAACTACACACAAGTCACCCCGCTGCAGCCAACCATACCAGTTATCTACAGTTTTTTGCAGTATATAGCTATCTAATATAGTCATCTAATGTGTTTGTGTTTTTTGCTGTTTATGGTAGGGCAAATCTGCCAGTTTGCCAACGACTATGTTAGCTCCTTGGTTATATTGTCTTTACTTTTTTAGTACAACTCAGCTCTAAACTCCCACAAGTATGTAATCATCTGATATGAGTGTGTTCACTGTGTGTTGTTACTGTTTATGGTTAACTGTTTAAGTTAGCTAGCTTGCTAACTGCACAAACATGGAGGATGTTTTTTAATTTCCAGTCTTTCACACCAGCCTCGATCACGCCCATTTGTAAGGCAACGCAAGCTGCAAATACATAGTGTGACTGGGGCCTTGTGATGTCCAACTTATAAAGTGCTAGTTTGACAGAAAGTGAAATTTACACAATTTCCCCCTTAACCCAAATGTAAATGATTGTCCAAGACTTGTTCATTGTCTAAAGTTTGCTTCTGTAGTTTTGCAGTGGAGCTTTGCTTCTGTAGTTTTGCAGTGGATGCTAACATTTAGTAAAAGCAAAGGCCAGAAACTCACTTCATGCAAGTATTTCTCTGCTAGCATCATGAAAACTGCATTTCACTTTATGCTGAGCTATAGCTTTTCCTCCAATTCCCTTCTGTCTATCTGCATATCTGTCTGTATACACAGTATCATCTCCTACTGCTTTGGTAAAAATATTGTGGTGTCAGCGAAGAAGAAGAAGACGGGGGACACAGTACTTCAAACAGTGCTCTTTTATTAGCCATGCAGCAGGGAAGCCCGGCGCCAATGTTGGCTGAATGGCCGAGAAGTAGGGCGGGTCATCAACAGCCACACATTACTTGGTAGACCACAACTCCACTATCCAGCCCCGCAGCCCTGCACAGCAACAAACACTGCAACCCCTATGATGTCCAAGCAGCAACAACTATTTGCATGTTTTTAAGTATCTCACACTGCCACAGCGGTATCTGTGGTGCTCTGCTTTTTCCACTCTGCATGGACTTGCCTCCCACGCATCCACTGCCAAACTAGGTGGTACTGGGACACTACGTTGCTCCCCTCTTCAAAAGGAGCTGTCTCAGCAACCCCACAAAGTCTGGGCAGAGAGTCCCTGGGCGTGCAGGGGCATGGTGCAGGGTTACAGAGTCTGGCAATTGCCGGCAGGCTCTTGTGGATGGTTGCCGTTCTCCAGCCAGGCTCCACCGTCAAGTCTCGTTGTGCTGCCTCATCCACCGTCTTCTCACCGCTCACTTTCGCGGTACTACTCTCCCTTGCAGTCCTTGGCTGGGCTTTCCGTTGTTTCGCTATAGGTTCGCTACAGGTTCGCTATTCCCTGGCCACTGGGGGGCGGTCCCACTTCTGACAGCAATGTGTTTTCTGTATTGTTTCCTTCTTTGATGTTTTTATTGATGTTATTAATTTTAGATGTTCATGAGCACATTATACCAGGTGTGGTTTTGCTGTGTTGTGTTTGTAGTGGGCGCTTATTTGTCTTTAAGTGGTCACTGTTTTAGAGATAAGGACATGTTTGTGATGTTTTTATTTGTCTCAGCCTTAAATCATTCTGCTGCTCATTTCCTCTCTGCCTCCCTCACTCACTCACTCTCTCTCTCTCTCTCTCTCTCTCTCTCTCTCTCTCTCTCTCTCTCTCTCTCTATCTCTGCTTCTTTCTCGATCTCTCTCTCTCTGTTTCTTTCTCTTTCCCTGTCTCTCTCTCTTAGTTTTCTTGCTTTCTCTCTCTCTCTTCATCTCTGTCTGTCTTTTTTCCACACTCTCTCCACTCCCCCATTTTTTCTCTTTATCTCACTCATTCTTTGTCTCTTTCTCTTTATATCATTCTCAAATCTCTCTCACTTTTCCTCTCTCTCACTCTTTCACTCTTTCTCACTCTTTTTCTCTCTCTCTTTTTATATTTCTCACTTTATCTCTCTCTCTCTGTGTATTGCTCTTTTTCTCTCTTCCTCTCTTTAACAGTCAGGTTGATGCATATTTTACTGTCCCCGTAGCGAGTTATGAGTCAGCCTCCTTTCACTCCTTTCCTTTCTTCAGTTAAATTAAATTTAATTACATTCACTTTACTTCAGTTCTACATCAGTTTTAATGGCATGACCATAAAATTGCATAACTATAAAAAGAAGCGTGTATGACATCAATAACATTTATTTATCATCCTGAACGCTGGCCGAAAAATTCTGACAGTTGTCTCTTTTTCCTTTATATCTCTTTCTCTGTCTGTTTTTCATTTTTTCATTCATTCATTTTTCCTTCTTTCTCTCATAACTTCTTTTGACAGCTGAGTTCATATCCTTACACTGAAACCAGAGAGGGAAAAAGAAGGAGAGAGAGACAGAGAACAGGGATGACAGAGAGAGAGAGAGAGAGAGAGAGAGGGAGCAGGGACGAATGGTAATGAAGCAATGGAAGATAGAAGAGAGAAAGTACAGAAAACGGAGAGATAAGCAAAGGCAGAAAGTGGGGAATGGCATGAAAGAGTGAAGTCAGTGAGGGAGAAAGAGAGATGGAGGGAAATAGAGAGGAAGAGGAAATTGATGGCATGGTAGCGGTGGACGCGGTGAGCTAAATTTGCGTAAAGCTTTAATGCACTCTAATGGTCTTTTTTTGTTTTTTTTGTTTTTTGTTTTTTTTTTTGCTCCTTGCATTGCATCTCAGCGGCTGGTTAAGAATAGCTGGGCTGGATTAGTAAAGTCTACAGGCAGGTTTAGCCTTACCTGTTTTTACAGGATTTAACAAAACCATAGTGTAATTTTCTATTATATTAACTAATTTATAGTATATTCATTAACTATCACTCACAGCTCATTGAAACAAGCAGAGAAATTCTGTTGAAAATGCAGATATTAGACAAACCACATTTGTGTTTGTATGTAGAAAACTAGAGATTTTGTGATCTTTTTCATTTTTGCCATATTTTTGTCATTTTTTGACTTTGGAACAAGCAGTAAAAAGTGCAATATTTGTCTGTACACAATGTAAATTCAGTGTAAATGGAATTCATTGTAACTCACCATATTAAATATGTAATTATGTAATTACACTTCAATAGTACAGAAATGTAACTGATTTAATTTAATAAAATATTAATTAGATACACTAGTGTTGGATGGTAACTGTAAATATGGGATTTCCTTGAGGGGAGGTTTGAAAATGGCTGAACAAACAGACATAGAAACACAACATATTGTTTATTTATTTATTTGTTTTTATTCTAATGTTAATGTTTTTGTGAACACTGCCAGATAATTGGCTTTACAGATCTCTTTTCTCAGGTGCATCAGACTTCATACAGTACTATATATTGCTGTAAACACCTTTTACATTTAATGTATGTATTTTTCGTATTATGTTCATATTTATTTGATACTTGTGTTCTGCACTGAACACCAGTTTCACCAAGACGAATTTCTCTTTGTAGACCTGTGTGGTGTGGAGCTGAGGATAGAGGAGTTGTGGCATCATTACCGTGTTGAGCATGCCATGGCAGAAGGGGCCAAGAACATGCTGAGGCTGCTGGGAGCTGGGAAGGCTCAAGATAAGAAGGCCATAACAGAGGTGAAGAAACACATACATACATACACATACTCATACACTGTCAATCAGGGAGCAGATGTCTATGTCCACGTCAGTGTGCCCACAATAATTTTACATTAACATATTACAACAGTAGTTTTGCCAATTAGGAGGGCAGTGCTGTTTTTCATCACTCTAACACAGTAGCCCATTCTCATACCACACTCCGCTGCCTTTCCCTATCCACACTGTGTTACTGATGCTAAGTTCAACTCTTCAGTAGGACCCATGCTGCATATCAACCTACCTGATGAAATTAATGTTCCTTATAATTGTAGTTGTTTCCATAACCCTTCTAATGATGCACACAAGTCCTTTCATTCTAATGAAGCACACAAAAGCTATTTTGGTGCTAAGAGCTCTACTCCTTGTGGAGAACCTTCAGCCTGCTAAACTTAGTTACAAGCCAGATCCATGAGGTGCATACAACAAAAACACTTGGCAAAACAGCTGAACAACACATATTATCAGCATCAAGCACATCACAGCAATCTAGAAACAAACAGCGCAAGACCAGCAGAACTGTATCGCAACCAGCAAGCAGTGTGTTAATTTTGCCTAACAACAATCACTCAATTGGTCAAATGCAGTTTCTCCAGAGCCGTGAGCCAGTATTTTTTGCGCTGCTGTTTGGCTGAGGTGCACTGAATCTGATAAGTTTGGAAACCACATGGCATCCAGCAGCATAAACACAGTGACAGATATAATTTCACAGACATATGTCAAACAAATAATGAAAAAATAGTTAGTATATAACAGGAAATAGTAATTATAATAAATAAAACAGATATTTATTCTTTAATTTCTAAGCACCTCAGCACCCAAAATGTATGAAACGCCCTTGATTAAAAATGTACAGGCCTATATAACAGACACCTTAGACTTACAGTGCTGGGTGAAGCCGTTATTCTTAAGAGTTACATACAGACTCACATAGATACTATCACATGTACATACACACATATTAGCAACTACCTGGGAGAGTAACAGTCCAGCAAACACCTGGGATAACATACCAATGACCTAGCAACACCTTAGAAACCACCTGGGATACCATAGCAATGGCCTAGCAATGTCTTAGCAACTGCCTGGGTTAACATAGCAACACCTGAGCTACCACTGGGGATTTCACAACTTTGACTTTGTCAAGCCAATGCAAAGTTCGTTCTCAAGCTTTCTCCTTCCAGTTCTATCCTATTTCCGCTGCACTCTTCTTTTTCATCTACCTACTTCTGCCTTTTTTCTCCCCTTTCTGTCTTTAACTTTCTCACTCCCCCATTCTCTCTCTGTAGGCTCAGTGCAGGCTGAGTGAGGCGTCTCAGCGGTTAGATCTGTTGAAGGAGTCTCTGGAGCAACGGTTGGTGGAGTTGCCAGAAGATCACCCTAAAGCGTGTCTGATTAAAGAGGAGCTGATTTTAGCCTCCTCTTCAGCGTTCAGTGCACACCATGGCTCCCCATACGTCCATAACCAGTACAGCACCCTCAGCAAACCATCCCCCCTCACAGGTAATATTTTACCTTTTTTAAATTTTTTATTATGTATATAATAAATATTATTTTCTATGTATTGTATATTCCAGTATGTTAGATTGAGCTACTAAAAAGCCAAATTCTTTTTATTCCTATTTATATGTAATTATGTAATTACATAATTAACTACATAATTATTACTACAGTTAGACTTCTTGACATTTGCAGAAATTAAACAATCTTTTGTTATTACTAGGGATAACAGTGACTTTTAAGGGTTAATACTCAAATAGTAAATATAGATTTATAACCCCCACCCCTCTCTCTCTCTCTCTCTCTCTCTCTTTCTCTCTTTTTCGGTGCCATAGGGACTCTGCAGGTGCGCTTGTTGGGCTGTGTTGGTCTGTTAGAGGTCGTTCCTGGCCGCAGTAGAAGCTCCGCTGTGGTTTTACCCAGCTTCAGCCCTGGAGACGGACGGCCCTTTAAACTTGGCCTGTACAGCCGCAACAGCAGCCTCAGCCTCAAAACACCCAGTAAAACAGATGAGCTATCCTGTGAGTGTGTGTGTGTGTGTGTGTGTGTGTGTCTGTGTAGATGAGTAACTTATTAAAGATTCAAGCAGAATAACTCCAAGGCATATGCAAATTTGTATTTGTGCACATGCGCTATTTTTGTGGGTAGATGAGGAACTATCAGGCCTGCACAATATATAAGATTTGTTAATTATTATCATGATTTTGGCCTTGGCAATACTGATGGCTGAAGGCAATATGCAAATGAGCCCTTTAACCAATCACATTGTTTTTTACTGTGTGCTGTGACCATCCCTACCAACCAGATGAACGTTTCTGTGAATCAATGTATTCATGTAAACCAAAGAATATTAAATGATCTGGATTTAAATCTGCCTACAACAGAATCACAACTGTGGTGTCATTCAGGATACAGAGGACCACAAGAGTTATATTGCTTTTATAGAACAGGGGCCGGTTGCACTGGTTATAAGTTCAAATGAAGGCTGGTTGCCAGTAAATGTTTACTAATTTCAGATTTATGTATTACTAAATCCAAACACGTTCCACCACTAAATGCTGTAGATTTAACATTGAGCTTAGTAGTTACTAAATATTTACATTTCTTCCTAAGCAGATGTAAATGCTGGGGAAACTAATGGAAACCACATAGTGAGCACAAAAAACACAAAACATGACTTTAGTTAATTAAGCTGGCAACACTGAATGCAACATGTTGTAATTCTAATTATCACCTTGGTTCTAACTCCAAACTTGAAGCTAACACCTGCAGCTCCTGTTAAGTGAGACTCAGCAGCTGCCAAAATGTCTAAACTGGTGCTGCTGTTGTGTTGGCTGGCCAGAAACCATCATTTGAAAAAGCTACATATTTGTTAGTTAGGAAATAATAAAGAATAAACAGGCAATGGCTACAAGTAGTCAGTTTTATTCAGTACATCATTCTCTCCTATACTGGTTATTTTCTATGGCTGCAGCTGTTTCCATGGTTGCACGTTTACAGATGGTTCTGATCATGTTAAAACCATTGTAAAGCGATGTATGTGTTAGTTGTTACAAGTTAAGACATTACTTAATGATTTGTGGTGCAATTAAATTTACTAAAAGTAAATAAATAAATAACTTTGCAATCAGAACCAACTGTTGTAAAAAGCAATGCATATCTCAGTCAAAATATGTACTGAGATTTTCTTCCTATCGTTGATATTTTTCATTATTTTTCATGCTATTGCAGCCCTAATAAAAATACTCACGTATCTCTGTGCTCATATCTGTATATGTATGTGTTCTCAGCTGAGGTCAGTGCTGTGTTAAAGCTGGAGAATACGGTGGTTGGTCAGACGAATTGGAGGACAGTAGGAGAACAGGCGTGGGACCAGAGCTTTACTTTAGAACTGGAGAGGGTATGTGGATGTGTGTGTGTGCTTTATTGGAGAGTATATATCTGTGTGTGTCTGAGTGTGTATAATAAGTGTGTGTTTCTCTCTCAGTCCAGAGAGATGGAGATAGCTGTTTACTGGAGGGATTATCGCTCTCTCTGCGGTCTAAAGTACCTCAAACTAGAGGATTTCCTGGACAACCAGAGACACAGAATACAGCTGGAGTTAGAACCACAGGGCCTACTGCTCGCTGAGGTACACACACTCACACAAAGATATGTTTTAATACACGGGCACATGGGGTATCTATACGTAATAGTACGTACCGCATTTAGCATATACATTGATGAGCCAAAACATTATGAGCATATGACCAATAATGTTGCGAATAATTTTGATTATCTTTTAACAACGGCGCATGTCAAGCTCTGGGATATATTAGGAGGTAGGCGATCAGCTGACGTGTTGAAAGTTGGAGATATGGGCACGTGTGAAGACCTGAGGGACTTTGACAAGGGCAAAACTGTTAAGGCCAGATAACTGGGTCAGAACATTTTCGAAAGGGGTGCCCTTGGTCAGCAGTGGTGAGTAGCTACCAACAGTGGTCCAAGGAGGGACCACAACCACAAATCAGTGACAGGGTGTTGGGCACCCAAGTCTCATCAATATGTGAGGGCAACATCTGGTCCAAAACGACATAAGGACTACTGTGGCCCAAGTCACAGAAGTGATGGTAATGGGAGGAATGTCTCACGACACACAGTACATCGCACCCTTCTGCATGTGGGGCAGCGTAGCTGCAGACTGGTCTAACTGCCTATGCTGACCTCTGTCCACCATCGAAAGCGCCTACAGTGGGCATGTGAGCATCGGAACTGGACCTTGGTCAGTTGGATCTTCAAGAACTGGAGGACCTTAGTCAGTCTGATACATGCCGCCTACATAAACATCGTTGCAAACCAGGTACACCACTTCATGACAATGGTATTCCCAGTTGACAGTGGACTCTTTCAGCAGAGTAATTCGACACTACACATATTATTCAGGAAATGTTTGAGGAACGTGATGAAGAGATCATGACGAAGAGTTCCACACATCTCAGTTCAGTGGATCATGTGTTTGAGGTGCTAGAACAACTAGTCCATTATGTGGTGGCTTTATCTCACAACCTACAGGACTTAAAGGATCTGCTGCTAATGTCATGGTGCCAGATACCACAGGGCACCTTTAGAGGTGTTGTACAGTCCATGCCTCTGTGGATCCGAGCTGTTTTCGCAGCATGCATAGGAGCAACATCAAATTAGGCAGGTGGTCATAATGTTGTCTCATCAGTATATATTTAAGTACATGTATGTACTAATAATGTCTCATATGTATTATATATGTAAGTTCCTGTATGTAACAAGAATTTTCTTATTACTTTAACTTAACCTCAGTAATTAAACAGTCATTTTGCCTTTTCAGTTAAAAAAATTACGTAGCTTTAGAGCAAAACCTGTTTTTCTTTTTTTTTGGGAAGTGTAAAAAAATCACAGACACACAGAGAGATATACTCAGAGTTGGGAGGGTTACTTTAAAAATGTATTTCAGTACAGATCAGTGATAACTCCTTAAAAATGTAATTTGTAAACTAATCCAAAGGATTTCTAATATTAAGTAACCTAATCTCTGTTACACCGTATTCCTTTATTAATTCATTATAATTAAATAAAAAAGAGAGAAAACATTTCCACAAAACGACTTTAACTTATCATAATGCAAACACAAACATTTTAAAATGTTAGATTATAGGTGACTTTTTACCAAAGTCAAAAGGTCAATCTGTTGCACATCTTTCAAGACCATTCATCAAAAATAATGAAAAATAGAGGCCGTTCAAAAATTCTGACCATCATTTATATTCTGTCTGCTGTATTGGCTCATAAGTCTTCATATTGGTGTGTCGTGCTTGAACTTGAATGATGTTGTAAAGTAATTTGTATATGGTCCCTTAGTTGAAACCAACTTTACTGCTCCCAAGACTTTTTTCACGTTTCGATACCCTTCTGTCCCACACAGATTCCATTGACCTGTATGAACCGTTAGATAACATTGATGTTAGCTCACTTCAGCACATTAGCAAGCTTGATATATAGCTATTCAAACTGTACAATTTTACATTGACGCAAACCAAAATAAAAGAGGTTACTTCCAGATCATTTTGCTGCTGTAGAATTTGGCGACATGGGAAAACAGAGTGATTAAAATATATTTTCACTGCTTCGCTGCAGATCTTAGTTCTGCCAATAAAATTATAAAACTTAATAAAATGTCTATATATTGGCCGAATAAACAGCGGACTGCTGCTGGGGACGTGGGATTCTTCAGAATTGTCTGCTGGTGGCAACCCCACCCTTTCCAAAAAGGTTTGAATGTAATCCTGCTGGTAGTTACCCTAAATTTATAGTGCACATGATTTGATTACTGTTATTTTTCTGGAACTACAACAGAATCCAGTTACCCTTTTTTGTATCCTGATTGCATAATGTTGTTAAATGTATTCCGTCACTGCTCAACCTTGGAGAATCCAGGTGGAACGGGGGAAACTAGAACCACAGGGCCTACTGTTCATTGATATACGTGCTCTCTGGTGCAACACATGGGTTATAACTCTTTGGTGTGTGTTTGTGTTTGTGTTTCAGGTGACATTCTTTAACCCGGTAATAGAGAGAGGTCCACGATTGCAGCGGCAAAGGAAGGTTTTCTCCAAACAACAGGGTGAGCATAGCATGCCTATTTTCAGTTATTTCAAATTGAATTAACTGTTTGCAAAAATCTGGCCCACCTCTCTTAGTTACCGTTGCTTTGCCTGTCAAACTAATAGCCAAAATGTGAATGTAGACCAATTTAAAGCACAAACAAATGATTCTGGAGGCCATGTTTACATTTATCAAACCAAGACAATCTTTCAAGTCACTGGGCGTTAAAGCAGAAGATTTTCTCGTATAACGAGAGCTACCCTTTCAGATGAGCTATAGATAGAGCTAACTCCTAATGTTACACTGCAGCTTAGAAATTTCATACATTTAATATTCATTCATCGTTGTTGTGTAACATCATTTGTCATTAGACATGATATAAAAATGGATCTTAGCAAATACAGCAAACTAGATAAGGTTTAGCTTACTCTAGCCTGTTATAACATTGAGTGCTGTCTTTCACATAATGTTATCCAAAACCTTTTTTAGCTTCAGGAATGAAATTAAAATGTATGAGCACATCAGCATTTAAATTACACTTTCAGTTTAATAATTCTGATGAATTTACCGCCATCACAGTTTTCGCAGCAGGTTTGTTGGGGGGTTTTATAAGAGTTTTTCCTGCACTTGATGGAAGAGGTAGTGCTTATAGATGGTTGTGAATAATTAAAGATGCTAGTCAGTCATTGTTTTACAAAAAGTCAACTAAATTCAATTGTATTCATGTCTCGTCCACAAATGCCTTTCTTCTGCAACTTTTGCTAGACTGGGCAAGCTTGGCAAAGGTTGGACAGAATGCTGGCAAAAACAAAAAAGCTAACAAGCAGCACAGCAGAGCTATAATCAGCTGCTGGAGCTGCTTGACTGCTGAACACATCTCACTGGCTGATCTAACACTGCTTCCCAAACCACACACTTCTATACTTCTGTACCACTCACTACACAAATGAGTACACTGGTATATGCACTATTTTTGCATACTATTTAGTGTGCTAATGTGCAGTATTAATAATAAAATGAAAACTGCAGTTCTCTGCCTTAGTTGTATTGGTTATGGCTTTGTTATCTCATAACAAACCACCACTGGACCCCTGAGTAAACTTGACGTTGCCTACTAAAATGGTGGCAGCGTGAATGCATGATGTCATCGGAATACTATGAACTGCACAAATCCTGATCTAAACCATCAATAGAAAAAGAATAGAAACTGTTCAGAGTTCAGCTGCATGAGCTGCACTAAAGCTTTCCAGCCCCATCTACTGGTGATCATTAAAAATCAGCAATGACTCCTGGCTAAAGGCTGATTGTGGAGTGAATAAATGGATTGAGGGTTTAGAAGAGGTTCAGTGAATGGGGGGATTTTCACTGTATTAAGCAGGATTTTCAGCATTGCTGTTGTTATTGTTGCTGTTGTTCTTTGTTTATTTTAGGTAAAGCGTTTTTGCGAGCTAAACAGATGGATGTGGACATCGCCACCTGGGTCCGACTGCTAAAGAATATGATCCCGTCCAGCACCTCGACTAACAGCTACTCACACAACTCACACACACACAGTACAGGGTGAGGACCTTTAGAAACATGCAATAATGGCATTTTTAAGATACAAATCTGACAAATTTCAGATACAAATCTGAAACCAGAACTGTCCGTATCCTGCTTGAATATCAGTAACGTTTCCCATCGCACAACAGAACCGTGAGGTTGAGGTTCTGTAGGCTTGGTAACCCTGTAAGAATGGCAACCAAATTTGGCATGAGAACTCATGTAGAGTACGGTTCACTCTGCACTGGAAATGCTGACAAAATCATGACAAAATCATGATATGTAGAAATTTTGAGAATTTAGTGGAATTCCCCTTTAAGTATAGTATTGCATGGTACAAACTCTTTTAGATCATTTTGCTGATCTTTACTGAAATGTCAGTGAGAGTTATTGATTGTTTTACTGAAAGTGTGTTCATATTTCAGAGTGATCTCAGTGGAGAAGCTGACCCTGGACAGTGAATCTCCTCCACGATCAGAGAGCCGCAGAGACGGTACAGACGCAGCACTGCAGGTGAGAGAGAGAGGGAGAGAGAGAGGATGACACAGCAAATTAGTAAAGAAGAAAATAGATAGTGATGTGTGTGTGTATGCATGAGTGGTAAATTAAATGAGGTGGAGGAAGTGAGGAAGATATCCAGTGCCCTTCTGTTGAACCAGCAGTGAGGCCTAAGAAAATACAGCCCCAGGGCCTGAGAGAGACAGAGAGAGAGAGAGAGAGAGAGAGAGAGAGAGAGATAAAGAGAGATAAAGAGAGGGTGACAGAGAGAGAGATAAAGAGAGGGAGAAGGAAAGAAGGAAAGGTTAAGAGACAGAGGGGGAGTGATAGGAGAGAATAGGAGAGAGAAAGAGTGGGGGAAGACAGAGGGGGAGAGGGAGAGAGAGAAAATGATAAATTAAGGGGGAGAAAAAAAAAGAGAGGGAAAGACAGAGAGAGAAAGAAAAGAGAGGGGAGAGGGACACTGAGAGAAAAAAGAGAGGGAGAGATATAGAGAAATGAAAAAAATAGAGATAGAGAGAGAGGGGAGAGGGAAAATGAGAAAAAGAGAGGGAGAGAGAAAATGGGAGAAAGAAAGAGTGAGGGAGAAAAAGTGAGAAAGAAAGAGAGAGGGAAAAAAATGGATGAGAAAAGGGGATGGAGAGAGATGGAGAATAAGATAGACAGGGAAAAAGTGAGAGAGAGAGAGAGAGGAAGAAAAGAAGAGAGAGAGGATAGATTAAGAGAAGAAAAAAGGTGAGAGTGGAGAGAGAAAGTGAGAGTAAGAGAGGGAAAGACAGAGAAAGGGAGAGAAAGAAAAGAGAGATAGAGAGGGAGAGAGAGTGTAAAACAGAATAAGAATGAGATAGAGAGAGAGACAGAGAAATGAAGAGAGAGAAAAAAGATAGGGGGAGGGAAAATGAGAGAAAAAGGGGAGAGAGAAAGAGTGAGGGAAAAGGAGAGTAAGAAAGGAAGAGAGAAAAGCAGATGGAGGGAGAGGGAGAAAAAGATAGATAGGAAAGAAAGTGTGAGAGAGAAATGAAGAAAAGAAGAGTGAAAGAGAAAGAATGCTCAGAAAGAAAGGCTAAATTAATCCTGACTGCTTACTGGGCAGCATTAACTCGATTGGAAACCAATCAGAGACACTTTAACCAGAGCTAAATAAGATAACAGAGAGAGAGAGAGAGAGGGAGAGAGGAAGAGAGGAAGAGAAGGAGTAAGGAGAGGAAACAGATGGTGTGGTCAGTGGGGTTCTGAGATTACAGGATTAATTACAAAGCAGATTTTTTTGTAGAGAACTAATTAACAGTAAGGAGAGAGAGAGGAAGACAAAGAGGGAGGAGAATAAAGAGGGAACATCAGAGACAGAGGAAAAAAGTAGACACACTGAAAGATGATGTGTGCACTGACCTGCTGTGCCATAGATCAGCCTGTCTGTTTTCTTTTTTTCACAATGCTTGATTCCCTTTTTATAGCTTTTTCTGTGACTTGGTTTCCACAGTAGTTCAGAACATCCTGAGCTGTTTCCGCTGTTGTTCCGTAATCCTTTTCTCGTCCTCTTTCTCCATTCTGCTCTCCTTTCCGCGTCCTCTTTCTCTCTGCCCTGCTTTCCTAAAAAAATGAAGGGCATCAATGCAGTACTGCAGACCATCTCCCTTTTACCCCAGAGGTAGTTGATCTGTCAAGACATGTTCAGTGTCTGAATTGTGCTTCATTAGTTTTGTACTGGAGCTGGAGGCTAATGTAGCTAATAAGTAATGGGAGTTGATGTAATTGAGGTAGCACTGTGCACCTTACATGCCTAAGTCACAGTTACCTCAGTTACACAGTTGCCTTAAACCATGTCATAGACTTGCTTAAGTGGTTTCTGACACTGTTTGACCTACTATATCTATAAAAATGAACAGAAGTACATCACATAGCTAAAAACAGGAGTGGCAGTCATCTCAAAGCCTGAATTTTTTTCCATGTAGTTATGTTATAACTGAAGTTTTAGGGGGAGTAACATGTCTGAAACCCCTTCCTCTTCCAGTCTAATGCCCTATAAATTCACATACTCACCCATACACCCCAACTCCTCCCAGTTCCTCTGTCCTACATCAGTCCTGCTACAGCTATTGGGGGGGTCTGGCCTTCTAGCTACAGGCAGAAGCTACCCAGAAGTTCTCAGAGTTGTCCTCCCTCCCTCAGTCAGTCTTTTAAACTCAGCAAAAAAAATTGTGCTGCAAAAACTTGCAGAAATGTGACATATTTAAGTTTCCTATAGAGGATATGTTAACCTTCACAAACATGTAATTTGACCAGGGGTCTCCAGACTTTTGTATAAGACTGTATTACAGAATGATTACCTGAATATTCGTTCCCCAAATCATCTTTAAAAACAATAATATTTTTAGTTTAGTGCTTTTTAGTTGTCCTTCTAACAGAACAGATACAGAGATGGATTACTGACCAGGCTAATAGGGCCAGTGACTAGGGGCCACTAGCTGCCAGGGGCCTCAGGGGGCATTAAACCCTAAGCTACCCAAGAGCTGGGAAGTGTCCACTGCAGATCCAAAAATTAGATGCATTAATTGATTGTGAAGTGTGACCTCCATAGAAAGATAGTCAAATTACACACTTCAATTTTAAAGCATTCTAAACTATATTTAAAATCATAATTTGCTAAAATGTGATGACCTTGTTGGTGTGGTAGTTGCAGAGCAGCTCATGGGCTGTACTAACAGTGTATGGAGGAGGCTCAACAGTGGTACAGTGGAGAAAAACTGGTTATTGTGATTTTGCAATAAACAGATCTTTCCAGCTTAAAACCTTTTACAAAACTGTTTAATTAGAAAAGAAAAGAACAGAAATAGCTCCGATATTCTCACCTGAAGTACTTAGAGCTGAGTCAGCAGCAGTGTGTTTTTTCACTGAGCATTTTTCTCATTGTTCAATATTTCAAACACATGGTTTCTTTCTGAGGCATCTCTGCTCTTTTAGCTTCAATGGCTAGATTGAAATTCATTGAAATTATATGTACTATACAACCCCAAATTCCAAAAACATTGGCACAGTATGTGAAATGCTGTTTGACCTGTATTCAGTGGACAGTACAAAACATGACATTTGATGTTTACTTTATGACGACAGGACATTGTTTACCACTGTGTTACATCACCTTTCCTTTTAAAAATGCTTAGTAATTGTTTGTCAACTTACGACACAAACCAATCCAGTTTGCAGACTTTTTTGCCATTCTTCTGTACAAGTGCTTAGCTGTGCAACCGTTTGGGGCCTTTGTTGACATAATGCCATGTTCTGAAACGGAAACAGTTCTGGACTGCAGACAGGCCAGTCTAGCACCTTCCCTCTCTGATTACGCAGCCGTGCTGTTGTAACAAGTGCAGAATGTACTGTGGTGTTGTAATGTTGAAATAAGCATGGACGTCTCTGAAAAAGACGTCATCTAGAAAGCAGCACATGTAGCTCCAAAATGTGTATTCTGAGTAAAAAGTTGCTTAAAGTTTGCTTTAAATGTACTTGTTTCAAATGTGTACATTGGCTCCACATAGATAAAATATGTTACATCAACATAACTAGTGTATGTATGTAATTAACTTACTTAATTTAAGAACCAGTGCACACATCTGAATCATCTAAATTCAACAACTTTTTTTTCAAAACTTTATTTTTCAGTCTTTTATTATTAATGGCATGTAAACAGATGTGCCAGTTACCCCTGTCATGGGCACTAACACAACCCCCATACTATGACAAACTCTGGCTTTTTGTTTTTATTTGCATTTTACATACTGTCCCAACTTTTTTTTTTAATTGAAGTTTTGGCTGCATTTTTGTAGGTTAAAAAAAGATGAAGGTCCTGAATAATACACAGAGAATTGAATAGCAATGAATGCCAACGCAACAAATGAATATTGTAGTAATGAAATTATTTGGGCATTTAGCCAGATAGTTGCATTAAATTAACTTCTCTCTCTCTCTCTCTCTCTCTCTTTCTCTCTCTCTCTCTCTCTCTCGTTTACAGGTTATAGAGCCATTCTCTCCTCCTGATTTGGCTCCAGAACGACAGGTCAGCAGGGTCAGTTCCCACAATTCCCAGCGCAGGTACGTGTCCTGCTGACACACAATATGGAGCTCGCTAGACCAGGCCAACATGGAGTGTGACCTACGCACACACAGCATGATGTTCCCACACACGCCCACACACAAGATGTTGATGGAAGTGCTTTTTACACCCTTACTACCCCAAATGAACTTGGTGTCATAATATCATAAGAAATGTTTTTATCTCTTACATTAAAGACAAAACTTATTCCTACACCAGTTTTGCTTTTGTTGGCATTTTGTAGCAGAAAGATCCACACTAATGTCGATGCTTTATGCTTATGAAGCCAAAACAATGTGTGATACCTGAACCCTTTCACAGTCAATACCTGAGGGAGGCTTGATATCATGAACTTTTCATATTAACTCCATATTAACCCCATAAACCCCAGAGGTCTGTATGTGAATTCACAAGAGTGTGTGAGTGGAGTGGAGCAGCAGACATTTCAGCTCCTCACTCAAAGCATTACGCAATTACTCCACTCCAGGTTTCCTTGCTCACACTTCAGAGAAAAGCTTCTCCATGTCTGCCTCATATGATTTGTTATTTATTTTGCATGTTTATTACCTTTATATTTGGACAAAACACTGTGCAGTTCATTTCTTGAATTATGAAGATTTATAGCCGTTGCTAATTGAAAAACTAGTTTATATTTTTTGCTACGTAGACTTTTTTTCAGTGTATAGGCTTGAAATGATGACCCAGTCACAAGCCAGTTCATATGGTTCACTCATCTCACTCATCACTTTAATTTCATGGGCGCCATCTTTACGTTAATTACGGTGTGCTTGTGTGTGTGTGTGTGTGTGTGTGTGTGTGTGTGTGTGTGTAGGCAGAGCAAAGGTCCGCTTTGTTTACAGGATTTTCGACTCATCGCTGTGTTAGGAAGAGGACATTTTGGCAAGGTACACAGTGTACACACATTAGCATGTTTATATCAGCAAGTTTGTATTTCCATGTGTTCCTGAATGAGTGCACATTAAATGTATTGAAGCATGAGTGATACATTGTATTTATTCAATTCAAATATGTGCATCGATTTCACACAGAACAGATCCACACAGTTTTGTCTTTCAGTTTATTTCCTTTTGTCAATAATTGTGTTGTGTATATATTCTTAGTGCAATTTGTGCAAATTCAAAATTGCATTAGTACAAATGGTGTACACATTTGAACCAAGCTTATGGAATGCATCACTCTTTTTACTTGTTTTTGCATCCTTAAAAGGGCCCATATGATTGACAGTGGATCTTGCTTTTTTGAAATAATGTTTTGGGGTTTTAACTTAAAGTTAGTGTCTGGTCTTTTGATTAATTTGAACTTCAAATAATAATTTGATAGGGCATAAAACACAGATTTTTATTCCATTAAATTACAATTTAAAATTCCATTAAATCAAAATTTTAAAGCAGCCCGAACACTATTTTTTTTTAAGTTAAAACAACAGTTTTTTTACAGTGTGGAAACTAGGCTGACAAAACAACCTGTTTTGAATCCAGTGCTTTTGTGATGTCATAAAATCCAACACATTTACATATATTCACCTAATATTTTCCTATCAGTAAAGGCCTGCCCGTTCACACTGATGTTATAAGGAGTGTTTCATGTTGATTTTTAAATGAAGCACTATACAGGGCAGTGGTCACCTACCCCGGGCCTGGAGAACTGCCTTCGTACAGAGTCTAGTTCCACAGTCTGCCACATCTGCTCCACTTAATTAACTTCTTCAGAAGTCCTTGATTGGCATTAGTGTTAAGGAACAGGGGAGGAGTAACTTGCAGATGCAGATTGTAACTAAACTCTGCAGGAAAGAAGATCTCTAGGGGGAGTGTTGGTGACCACTGTTCTAACAGACAGAGGAAGGTTGGAAATGGTCATATAAAAATGAATTCTGATTGTTTTGTGGTTAATAAAATCACAAATGTCTGAAGTGGACCTCAGGGAAAAAAAATGAAATGCAAGAAAAATGTAGAAAATTGATAGTTACCAAAAATTTTTAGAACTTCATCAACATAAATATTTTGCTGTTTAAAATTTTGAATGCAAACGCTCACTTTAAAAACTATTTGCTGTTTTACCTTAAAAGGTAAATAACTAAACCGCCTTGAAGAGCTGCTGATATTGAGCTGTTATTTATATACAGTAAATATGTATCTTTATGATGTTTTGCCAACTGTTTGATTCATTTTGCCATGTGTTTTATTTTTTAGGTGTTATTGTCGGAGCACAAGCGCTCTGGCAGTCTGTACGCCATCAAAGCACTGAAGAAAGGAGACATTATAGCCCGAGATGAAGTAGAGAGGTAAAAACTCAGGGCAGAATTTCCTCATCTCTCACACAAATGGTCTTAAACTCTTCTCATATCATCCACTATGCTTTGACTCAAATCAACACCTACAATAATTTCGTATTCTCAGTTATGTCTAGCAAAATCGCCAAATGTACAAAACTCTCTCTTTTTAAGGTGTTGTTAAATCAGTGACGACGGGTGCTGTAGTAGCTGTTGTATACTGGCACTATAAAGATGTGTTAAACATGTTAAAGAGCCCATATCATGGATTATTTTTCACAAAAACTAATTAATTTTTATATATATATATATATATATATATATATATATATATATATATATATATACATAGTTAAATGTAAAGAGTGACTGAGGCACAGCCAATCAAAACAGAGGTAATTTACATATGTTAGTCTTGAAGGCGCAGTAACAAAAACAGCCTGGTTAATTCTAAGGGATAAGGAAATGTTGGAAAATGGTCAAGTAAAAATGAATTATGGCTGCTTTTGGTGCATAAAATGACACATATTTTATACATTGACCTCAGATTAATATAAAGTACAAGAACAATGTAGAATATAGGCCCTTTAATAGAATATTGACTGCTCTTCAGTTTAGATATAAAGCTAATTTAATAACACTTATTTTGAGGTATATGTCTTGACTGTATTTCTCTCTCTCTCTCTCTCTCTCTCTCTCTCTCTTTCTCTCTCTCTCTCTCTCTCTTTCTCTCTCTCTCTCTCTCAGTCTGATGTGTGAGAAGCGGATCTTTGAGACAGTGAACAGTTCTCATCACCCGTTCCTGGTGAACCTGTTTGGGTGTTTTCAGACGGAGGAGCATGTTTGTTTTGTTATGGAGTACACGGCTGGAGGAGACCTGATGATGCACATCCACGCTGACGTCTTCTCTGAGCCACGCTCTGTGTAAGTGTGTGTGTGTGTGTGTGTGTGTGTGTGTCTGTGTGTTAGGGAAAAAAATCAAACCTATTGCTGTCACGATTACTTAGTTAAGCTCAATTGTTTGATTACAGAAAAATAAACAGGTTAAATGTTAACCTTCTCTGTTAATCAACAGTGATGCATGATAATAATGCTTAATATCTCCCAGCTGCTCCCTCTTACTTTAGGTAACCTGATTTGCATGCACATTTATATGAATTCTTTTAACCACGTAGTGTTTATATGATTGTTTTTCATGAAGGTTTTTAAAGGCTTCCTTATATATTTTTTTTCCAGTAAAATATTTTGGAATTCTGGAAAGGCTCAGCATTGTTTCTTATACTTTGGCCCTTTACTAATATAATACTAATATACAATATATTAATATATGTTTTACATTATACAGTGCTGTGCAAAAGTCAGAGGCCACCATTTATTTATTTAATTTGAAATCAAAACAGCCATTAAGTACAAGTTATTCATTTTTAGCATCAAGGAAAAAGCAGAAAAAACATTTAACCGAACAATACACAGAAGCCTCAACATCTAAACATAATATCAACTTTTTCAGTATTAAGTGTGTCCACCCATTGCCTTTATTACAGCTTCCATTCTTTTCAGGAGACTTGCTTATGAGTTTTTCAAAGAAGTCTGCAGGGATATTTTTCCACACCTCCAAAGTTCAGTCTTAGAAGTTGGCTGCATTTTCTGCTTCTTACTTTTTTGTATGTGTGTTTGTCTATCAGGTTTTATGCTGCTTGTGTGGTTCTGGGCCTACAGTTCCTTCATGACAATAAGATTGTGTACAGGTAAGCAAGACAAGCATCTCACACAACGATATAAACACAAATCATGCATGGAGTGGTGTAAAACTTTTGCCTTTGATTCAAGTTTTTTAGGTCAATAAATCAGGATGTACTAATGTATTTGCACAACCCCTTATACACATAAACAGACCCACACTTCCTGTGGTGTATAATTTATAAGATAATCTCCCTTTTTCTGATAGGGATCTGAAGCTGGATAACTTGCTGCTGGACACTGAGGGCTTCGTGAAGATTGCTGACTTCGGTCTTTGCAAAGAAGGTGTGTACACATTTGTGATTACTCAATTATAGGGTCATACATATGTCCAAAATTATCCAGACAGCCCTTCAAATTAATTCAGCAACTTTAAGGTGCACCCGTTGCAGACGCAGGTGTTCAGTCACACACTCACAGCTCCAAAGAAAAGCATTGACCAATAGAATCAGATGCTGTGGAGCAGCCACATGTGAGCGTAAGGTCACAATGCCTAATGCCAAACGTCAGCTAGAGGGGTATAAAGACCCCCAGCATTGGATTGTGGAGCGTTAGAACTGTGTTCCAGAACTGATCATCCAACATCAGGACCTGACCTCACTAATGCTCTTTTGGCTGAATGCAATCAAATCCACACAGCAATGTTCCAACATCTGGTGTAAAGCCTTCTCAGAACAGTAGAAGCTGTTACTGCAGCAATGGTGGGCAAACTTCCTGCCCTTGTTTTCAGAAGAAACATTAAATAAGCAGGTGTCTACAAACTTTTGGACACTTTTGGAAAGTGTAATAACCCCTTAAACAGCTGTAGGCTTTTTAATAACTAAGTTATTAGTCTTAAAGGAGCAATATCCTACATATTTCTTGTAATTTGTTTCTCTTTATCCCTTAGAATTAAACAGCATTTTTGTTACTGTGCCTTTAAGGCTTATATATGTAAATTATCTCTGTTCTGATTGGCTGCTCTGTACTGTACCTTGTTCAGCTGAAACACTCCTTATACCATCAGCATTTTATTTACTTAAAGAATTGAGGATAATACTGTTTTCTATAATTTAGACCCTAAGAGACCTATTGTTCAGTAACTTTAACTTGACATTTCATCTCACTTATTACTTTCTTTCTTGCTTCTCTCACTGTAGGGATGGGTTATGGGGACAGGACGAGTACGTTCTGTGGTACTCCTGAGTTTTTGGCTCCAGAGGTTTTGACTGATTCTTCCTACACTCGAGCTGTGGACTGGTGGGGGCTCGGGGTGCTCATATATGAAATGCTGGTCGGAGAGGTCAGTTCACGTGTCTGTGTTTGTGGTTGTCATAATCGAATGTTAGAAATTTTTTATTTATTTTATCATTTTATCTCCAAGAATACCACATTTGTAAACTCTGTGTGTGTGTTTAGTCCCCTTTCCCAGGTGATGATGAGGAGGAGGTGTTTGACAGCATTGTAAATGATGAAGTACGTTACCCACGATTCCTTTCTACAGAGGCCATCAGCCTAATGAGACGGGTGAGGACCCTCTACCGATCACATCATAGCACAGCCTCCATAAGAGTTAGAACAGTGGTGTGAAAAATGTCTAGCTTTTTTGATAAGAGAATGAGAGGTGAAATACTGATTGTGATCTTTTACTTTTTTATATTATTATTATTATTGAAACTTACATTTTAGTTATTAATATTCATACGGAAATTATGGCCAAAAATTATAACAATAAATTATAACAATAAATTATTTAGCATCCTGTTTTTAAGCACACCACTGCTATACCAAAAACAGAAAGACATAATAGTCTTTGGTCAAAACTCCTAGTGTTACATTCAGTGTTGTGAATGGCTATAGATAGAACAATAATTCTTTGAAAGTTTGTCTGATTTGTGGCGCAGAGAATGAATCACTGATCTGTATTTAGAGTTTTAACCTGTTTTACACTCACTGCATTTTATACATGGATTATAGTGTGAACTTGTTTCAAAATGCAGTGTAATGATGGGTTATTGGTATTGTTACCAGCCACAAAAAGGTGTTAATTACCAGTTATTATATCAGCTCAGGAATTTCAGATCAGTGCGTCCCTGCTAATAAGCTCTGTGTAATTTAGATCATTATAATATAAACGAAACAAAATTATTGGGGAGATCTTACTTTTGACATTCTAAGAAGGACCAATTCATTGGAAAAGACCATTATGCTTGGAAGAGTTGAAGGTAAAAGAGGAAGAGAATGACCAGCTACAAGACGAATGGATACAATCAGAGGAATCATGAACCAGCCCTTTAGCAGCCTGAGGATCCAAACTGAAGATGGAGATTCAGGAGAAACACTATCCATATGGTTGTCCAGAGTCAGAAATGACTTAATAATAATAATAATAGTGAGAATAAATGACAATTACAATGACAGGGACAATAACAGAGGTGCTGCACTTACAAAGTACAAAAATAATGAAATTTTCAAAGTTAATACTCAAGCACACTGCCAGTGAATCAGAAGTAACACATAGTCCACTCATTAACATTTGCTGCAGCTCCTTTATTGGCTGGGTGTTTGATTGGCAGCTGTTGTGTGGTTTTCTGTTGCTAGTTGCTCAGACGGAACCCTGAGAGGAGGTTGGGCTCCACTGAAAGAGACGCAGAGGATGTGAAGAAACAGCCTTTCTTTAGGGTGAGAAAATTCAATCTCTCTCTCTCTCACACACACACAAACACATGGCCTATAATCCTGGCTAATGGGATGTCTTTGTCAAAATCTTCTGCTCCGTTCAGTTTAAGCTCTTAAACTCTAAGGGTCTGTATGTGGGTCCACATTTCAATTCATCACTCTCATAACTACACACAGTCATATGCAAAAGATTGAATACCCCTAGTCAAATTAAATTAAATATTTTGTTGATTTTCTAAGTACACACAAGTGAGCACATCCTCTACAGAGAACACACACATATATAGCATTTACTTGCAAATTTTAATGCACAATTTTACACACAGATTAACATATTAGAAAGAAATAGAACATAAAATGTGCTGTTACTTTTGCACAGGCCACATTGGATGTTTTATTATTTCCTCTGATATGTTAAATCAAGCAAATAAATAGTCATTATGCATTTAATTGTGCAGATTTTCACTTTGACAGAAAATCAACAAAATGGAATTTGGCGTGCCCAAACTTTTGGATATGACTGTAACTTACATTACAACAGTTGGTTCTGATCACACAAGTTTGGGTGACCAGGTCAAATTATGTGAAAGTAAATTAAGTGAAAATCTGAACATTATTATGAATTATTTGCTGAATTTAATAGAATGTGGCTTGTGCTAAAGTTATGGTGCGTTTAATGTTTAATTTTGTATTTTGCACCAGTATGTTAAATTTAGTAGATAAATAGAAATTAAATGCATGAAATTTGCAGAAATGCCATATTAAGTTTAGGAACATCAAGGCTGTGATGATGTACGGTTTTGACTCATGACCAAATCAGGGTGATATTCACAGTAACACACACACTCTCAAGTTCTGTTCCTTAAATTTATAGTTATGTATAGTTAGTAACTGAAAATTAAGATTTTGATTAACAACTGAATAATAAAGCTGCAGTTTGAGGGATTGAACATGGAAAATCACAGTACACTGGGATGTACATGTAAAATGACATTAGGCTCTTGCCAAAGCATCATGAACAGTTAATGATTTCTAAAATCTGTCTTTGTTTTTCTTATCGTGTAGAATATAGAATGGGAGGCTCTCCTGCAGAGGAAAGTGATGCCTCCCTTCGTGCCCTCTGTAGGAGATAAGGAAGACGTCAGTAATTTTGACGCTGAATTTACCACGGAGGCTCCCGCTCTGACTCCGCCACGCGAGCGTCGGACACTTTCCCGCAAAGACCAGGACTGGTTCAGAGACTTCGACTATGTCTCTGACCTCTGCTAGATGAAAAGGAAACAAGTATTTTGCAGATTAGAACTCAAAATTATGCTGATACTGTGATTCAGAGACTTGGGCTGTGTTCCAGTCTCTGTCAAAAGCCCTACAGATGCTCCCTTCAGTCTGCTCCACCGATACAAGGCTGAGGAGCCAGGGAGAGCTGGGTTTGATTTCAGTTTGGACATTGTTGCTCCCAGATAATGCTGTTTATCCTCAGGTTTAGAACTATGAAGGACACTGGAAGTTAGAGGGCCCCATTTAAGAAGATGAAAGAGAGGACACTCGCCTATTACTCACACTGAGAGGACATGAGAGGACAAGAGTGCTTGCTTGCACATATTTTGAAGATCCAAGACCGTTGTGTAATCTGGACTATGAATAAAGGGCTGAGAAATAAATAAATAAATGGGCTTTAATAATCCAGTTATATGAAGCTCAGTGGAAGAAGCTCGAGTTCAGGAACAAATGGGTTCCTCCAGGATTTTAAGAGCAGTTCAGTAGTAGCATCATATACCTGCACTGTGACACCTAACGTTTGTGAACTTAGTAAAAATTAAGGGCTGGGCGATATGGCAGAAATGCAACATCATGATACTTGAAGACACGATATCATAACATTTCATTCTTCTGAAGTTTGATAAGTTGGAACAGACAAAATGCACCAGTAGTGCCACATTGAATATCAAGCTATCAAAAGTATGGGAATGTTTTTTAAAATGAACTTTTTTTACTTTAGCGTAGAGGTGCACATCTCCAGTCCTGGAGGGCTAGTGCCCAGCACATTTTGGGGTTTTCCCTGCTCAAACACAACTGATTCAACTCCAGGGTGTGTTTGAGCAGGGGAACTACAAGACCATGCTGGACACTGGCCCTCCAGGACCAGAGTTGTGCACCCATGCTTTAGTGCATCATCAGGACTCAAACTCACTGTCTCTCAACAAGAGGGTAGTCCTGCCAGCTTGGAGCCTCTTTTAAACCTCTTGTTAATTAAACATGCACTCGTTCAGTGTTCTAGAATTACTACCGATAACCATGATATACTCAGAAACGTGCATTGTGACATAGAGTACTGTACTAAAGTCAAAGGCCTCCCTTCGTTTAGGTAATTTTAAGTCAAAACACCCATGAAGTTATTAATTTTCAGAAGATATTTCGGAAAGGATCTGATTTAAGACCCCTTGTTTTCGAGCGTCACCTTGCCCCTTGGAACTGAGTTACAAGGGTTAGTGGTTGAAATCTTTCCCTACGAAAAGGAAACACTTTTTTCATTGGTCACTTGCTCAGCCATCTTGGTTTTTTTCTTTTTTTCTCATGACACTCCATTTGGTGTGCGCCTCAGAAAAACCTCCATTTACAGAGCTATGTGTCCCCAACACATCACCCTACCCCTCTATCTCAACAAAAAGCAGGACACCCTACCCCTACATGTGAACGCGCAAAGGGTAGGGGCAAGGGCTGAAATAGGATTGGGCCTTGGTTGTTGAGGCTTCTGTGTAATTATTTTAAATTATGTTTTCTTTTTTTCTGCTGCTGAAAAATAAATAGCTTACCCATTTTGACTGGAAAAGTAAATCAGTGAAAGGTGGTCTTTGACTTTTTCACAGTGCTGTAGTTTATTGTAGTAACGATGCCATTTCATCATATCGTCCACCCCTTTTAAAATGTGTCACCAAATCCCCTTTTAGAATCCAGCTTGTCTTTCCTCTCTTTCTTGTCCTCCCTCTCAAACATCTCTTCTTTCTCCACCTCCTGTGTCCTGTTCACTTTGCTCTGGAACTGAATGTCTATTTGAACCCAGGTTGTTTGCTGACTGATGTGATACACAACTATGACCACAAGAGGGAGCCAGAATATGTGTTGTGTCTTAAAAACTGAAGGAGATTGTATGTGTGTGTGAGGCTTTGTACTTTGAGAGTCTTTTTTTTTCTTTGCCCCCTGCTCTGTGTAAAAACAATGTTTTATGTGAGTTTAGTTTTGTGGAGTTTCAACTGTGAGTTGTGATGTCATGCAGTGTCTGGGTCTAAAAATATAAATGTATTTAAACCTTTGGCCTGTTTAATCCGTCTATTCAACGCATACAGTTACAGGCCACCAGTACACCTGCTGAGTCATGCAATTTTCCAATTAACCAATCATGTGGCAGCATGAAATTATGCAGGCATGGCTCAAGAGCTTCATTATTTTTCACATCTAACATCTGAATGGGGGGAATAAATGACTCAGATATGACCAGATGGAGTGATGGAGCATTCAGAAATGGCTGGGCTTTTCATGTGTTGCAGGGTTTGGTGCAGAATGGTGAAAAAACCCAAAAATATCCAGTAACCAGCAGTTCTGTGGGTAGAAACACCTTGTTGTTGAGAGAGGTCAGGTCAGAGGAGATGGCCAGACTCTTTACAACAGTGGTGATCAGAAAAGCATCTCTGAATGCACAACACGTAAAACTTTGGATGGGCTACAACAGCGGGGTCTGCTCCTGCTTGCAGTGGGCTCAGGTTCACCAAAACTGGACTGCTGATAAAAAAGTCCCCTTGCCTGATGAATCTCAGTTTGTCCTGCAACATGCAGGAGATAGAATCAGAATTTGACATGAACAGCAGAAATTCATGGACCCAACCTGCCTTGAGTCAACAGGTCAAGCGTGTAGTGGTTGTGTAATGGTGTGGGGAATGTTTTCTTGACACATGGGGTTCCCTGATACCAATCTAGCATTATTTGAATGCTACAGCCTGTCTGAGCACTGCTGCAAGCCATGTGCATCCCTGTCCAGAATGTATCCATCTTTTAATGGCTGCTTCAAAGCACAAGTAATTTCAAACTGCTTATATGAACATGACGATGGGGTCTGTGAACTTCCTGTGGCTTTCCCAGTCACCAGATCTGAATCCAATAGAGCACCTTTGGTATGTGGTACAATGGGAGATTTTGCAGCTGACAGATCTGCACAATTACTTGATGTAATAATGTCAACATGGACCAGAATGTCTAAGGAATTTCCATCTTGTTGAGACCCTGTTATGAAGAATTCAGGAATATCTGAGAGCAAAAGTTCCTGTTAGGGAAGTGCCAGTGGGTTTACAGATAACATTCACACATTATATATTTCAAAAGCATCTGTTTTGTGCAAAGCTGCAGATTAATAGAGGATAGTGTTAATGGCATCACTCTGACAATGTAGATGAATATTTGTGTAGATAATGTATACTCCTCTCAGAATTTCTTATACTGAGTGGTGAGTGGTGCCACTGGACTCTGAAGCAGTGGAAAAGTATTCTGCCAACTGTAAAGTGGGATGATGCTATGGGGTTGTTTTTCAGGGAGTGGCCTAGACCCCTTAGTTCCAGTGAAAGGAAATCTTAATGCTTCAGCAAACCAAGACATTTTGGACAATTGTATGCCTCAAACTTTGTGGGAACAGTTTGGGGAAGAACCTTTACTGTTCCAGCATGACTGAGCCCTAGTGCACAAAGCAAGGTCCATAAAGGCATGGCTGGGTGTGTTTGGTGAGGAAGAACTTGACTGGCCCACACAGATCCCTGACCTCAACCCCACTGAACACCTTTGGGATGAACACGAACAGAGATAGCGAGATACTCTCCTGGATGAATTGGACAAAAATTCCCACAGACACACTTCAAACTCTTGTAGAAATCTTCCTAGAAGAGTGAAAGCTGTTATAGTTGCAAAGGGGGAACCAACTCCATATTAATGTCTATGGATTTAGAATGGGATGCATAAAAGAACCTGTATGTGTAATGCATAGGTGTCCCAATACTTTTGTCCATATAGTGTATGAAAAGGCTCTATTCTCTGATGTAACTTTATTAATTCTAAGTACTAATAGTAAGCCAGCACCTTGTGATCTAAGTAGACGTGATGGTTCATAACAAGAGAGAAGTTCACTCAGGTACTAAGGGGCCATTTAGAATTTAGAAAGAATTTTGTACTCAATGCAGAATTTAACTGGCAACCAGTGTAGGTTTGAACTGGGCTGATATGGTCAAACTTTCTGCTTCTTGTGAGGACTCCGGCTGCGGTGTTCTGGACTGAAGCTTGTTAAGGCTTTTGCTGGAACACCCAGACAGCAGGGCATTACAGTAATCAAGCCTTGAAATAATAAATGCATGAACTAGGTTTTCTGCATCCTGTACAGACAGTGCATTTCTTAATTTGGCAATATTGTGAAGATGCAGGAAAGCTATTTTAGTAATATTGCTTATATGTGCATCAAAGGACAGATCGGGATCTATTGTAGACACCAAGATTTTTTACAGATGTACCTGATAACCAGAGAAACTATTAAGTTTAAGCGTTAAATTCATTTCCAGCAGCTTTTGGACCAAGAAGAACCTCTGTTTTGTCCGATTTGAGTAGGAGGAAGTTACTCAACATCCAGGTTTTTATGTCTTTAACACAGTCCTCAATCTTATTAAATTAAATCATCTGGTTTAGTTGATATATACAATCGTGTGTCATCAGCGTTGCAGTGGAAATTGATGCCATGTTTACTGATAATGGTACCCAGTGGTAGCATATATAATGTGAATAATAGAGGTCCTAAAACAGAGCCTTGTGGAACACCATACTTTTGTACGAATAGGGAATTGGCTGTTTACATTCACAAACTGATGGCTATCACTCAGGAAGGATCTGAACCAGGAAAGAGCTAGTCCTGTTACTCCTAAATGGTTATCAAGCCTGTTTAGTAAGATAGATTGGTCTATCATATCAAATGTCACACTCAGATCAAGCAGAACTGGGAAAGAAACTGGGAAAATAATAAGAGATCTTTACAATTTTCACTAGTGCTGTCTCTGTACTATGATGAGGCCTAAATTCGGACTGAAAATTTTCATGTATGTGTGTATGCAAATAGAAACTTAGTTGTTGTGCCACAGCTTTATCCAAAATCTTTGCTATAAAGGGAAGATTTGAGATATATAATTTGAAAGCCTGCAGGGATCAAGATTAGGTTTCTTAATTTAGTTTTTGGAATATAGTCAAGGCTAAGAGAGGAGTTTATCATTGACAGAATACGCTTGGATATTTTTGGCAAACTTTCTTTGAGTAATCTTGTAGGAAATGGATCTAATACGCAAGTAGGAGATTTTGAGGAGGAAATAATTTGAACTAGCTCAGTTTGTTGAAGTAAGGTAAACAATTCCAGCCTCTCCGCAGTAGTTACACTGTACTCAAGATCTGGATTAGCTTTGTAGGGCAGCAGGCTTGTAGCAGGGCAGCAGGTTAACTGTGCATTTTGAATTTTTTGCCTGATCATTTCAATTTTATCACTGAAGAAATTCATAAAATCATTGTTGCTGTAGGCTGACGACATCTGGGGTTCAGTAAATGTTTGGTTCTTAGTCAACTTAGAAATTGTGCTAAATAATAATACAGGATTACTCTTATAACTTTCAATCATATAGGAGAGATAGGTTGAACGTGCTGCAGTAAGTGCCCTTCTATAGTGTATAAGGCTATCCTTCCAGGCGGACCGGAATACTTCTAGTTTAGTCAGATGCCATTTTCACTCTAATTGTCTGACAATGTTTTAAGGCTCAAGTATGATCATTGCACATTGTACTTTTGTCGCACTTATGAACTTTTTGACTTGTAAAAGTCCATTTATGAACTTTCTTTTTTGTTACTGTGTCTTTGAGACTGATATATGAAAATGACTTCTATCCTGAAAGACTGTCCAATATTCTGTCTCATTCAAATAGCAATCCCAGCTGAAACATATTACTCCATGTATGGACTGTATGGATTGGGGGCTGAATGGTATTTGAGACATTGTTTACATACATCCTCAAACTTAAAATAGTACATAATACTGGGCTTTCCATTATAAAGGCCCTTTAAAAGTCCTGATAGCACAGCTATCTTCTGAATGAGCCTCTTCCTCTCAGTGTTTCACTGTCACTGCCCTGCAGGTGTGAAGTGTACATCTGCACTCCCTGTTCCTCTTCCATTCTTCTTCTCTGCAGGCCTGCTTAAAACTAGCCTGCTGTGACAGGCCTGTGCCATTACAGGCGGAGTTGTAGTGGGTGGGGCTGAAGGCCTCATCAAGAGCACTACTTACACCTGCGTGGTGTGCTTGTGGCGGGGGGCTTCTCTTTTGTTCTTTTGTTTCTGTGTCCTGGGTAGTTTGCACAGGAACATCACGCCCCACAAGACCATAAGGCTGCCCCAGGGCAGGAATTCACCAGTCCAGTATTTCTGCAAAGGCAGAGTGTTGAGGAGAGAGAGGAATTGAGAGAGAAAGAAAGAGAGGATGAGAGGTTCGCAGAGGTAATGTGTCTGATTATCACCACAAGGCAGAAAAGAGCTCTGTGGTGACAGAGAGACAGAAAGAGGGGTAGAGCGAGGGGGGTGTGGAAAGGAAGCAGGGGGATGTCAGGATGCCCTCCAGAGCAAAAAAAAAAATTAAAAACCTCCATCTCTTTCGTCTCTCTGTCTCGTTCTCTCTCTCTGCGCCGTCCTCTTCAAACCCAATTACAGTGAAAATTGTGAGGCCGTCATATTTTTTTGCTGCTAGCACTTTTCTCCCTGGGGGCCCTGACGGCTGGACCACAACCCAATTACGAGCAAGAGGAGCTGTGCACAATCAGGCTACTTTTGAATATCCGTCCTGTTCTCTTTGTGTGTTTTTGGAGAGAACTGAACAAGATGTGTCAACAGAGCAAAAACCAAAGTTAACTTACCATTTCCTGCTGTTTTGGATTCAGAAGTCCTTTACACAACACTTCTCTAGTCACCAGTTTAGGCACTTAAAGGAATGGTTTGGTGAAAAAAGTCAAAACCTTTCTGTAAATACATCCCCAAAACCTTCCACCCACACAAACCACATGCAGGTCTTCACTAAGGTTGCACAGACTTTTGGACACAGTATGACTTACGGACAATTTCTGTTGTTTCTTTTTATTAATAACCATTTATCTTGAATTTTCAAACTGAAGATATACATTAATAAATTTAAAAACTTCATCCTTATAGTTTACAGTAGGACAGTGTGTCCTAAGCAAAATCAACGAGTGTGTGTGACCTT